TGTGGACCATCTTTAGGGATCTTAACAATTTAAAATTTGTGTTTGGGAGATTTGAGAGATAACAAAGAACCCCCCCACACTCCCGAATGAGCTAAGGGACCAGGAGATCCCGCCCGTTATCTCTGAATCTATGGCAAGCAGTGTAGTAGCAGAATATATAGCACGCGTCGGCCTCTATACATATATAGACCACCCGAATTCCATTACACTTTGGCCGGACTTTTGCCTTGTTGTCAACGTCAACAGAAATTGATTGCTCACCAAGCGTCGCTCGCCATCCCCTCTATCCATCTCCCCTCTATACACTATACGCACACACATCCCTCGCTCACTCTCCCTCCCTCTCTCTCTCTCCCGCTCGTTCACTCTCTGAGGCTTTTGGTTTTGCCTCTGTGGCATTTTCATTTCATTCAGTTGAGTTTACTTTGCGCAAAACTTTTTGAGCTCGTCTCTCTAGCGGCTGCCACTGAATTATCCTTAGCCAGCGGACCAGTAAGCGGCTCCCATACCATATCGCCTCGCTTCCGCTCCTCCTCTCTCTTGACTCCACCCCAACTTTGACACAGTTTAGAAGCCAAAAGTTTAATGGAATTTGTCTATAGCGTCGCCTCGGCGGTCGACGGAAATATAAATAAAACAGCATTCAACTTGTTTTTGAAGCAATTAAAAATTCTTTAAGACGCTGCCGCCACAGATTGAGTCGTCCGCCGATCGACAACGAATGCCAAGCCCACGCCCACACACCATGCCGCCTCCCAGGCAGCATAGCCGCTACAAGTGTAAACACAAGTCAAAGTAATAACTAAAGTTTTTAATTTTAAAATGATTTATATTTGTGCACAATACTTTCGAGAGCTACAAAATCCGACACGAAGTACAGCCTTTAATGGGATTATAGAGAACATAGCCAAATATAGTCAGCTGCACGCTGAGCACTGTATTACCTCAGCAAATTTTATAAGATATTATAAAAGTATGAAAAGTAAATAAGTCCTTTCTCGATTAACCTAAATTTTTAATTTGTTCATACATATATTTCATGCATTCTTTTATTTAGTTTTAAATTTTATTACCAGTATGCTACTTTATAAATTAGTTAAATTGAGTAGATTTATTTAAATAAAAAAAAAAAAAAACATATATACTATTATTTATCTCAGAATGAAAGTGTAGATACATATATATGCTTTGTAAAGTGAATTTTGAAAATTACATTAAAAAACAACATAAAATATGAAATGAAATAAATTTTTTTATTTCATATAAATTCAAAACTCAAATATTTAAATGAATTGGTGACATGCATTTTCCTCTTTAAATTGTGATTTTTTATTTTGCATAATGAACCTAAATTCACCTGAAAAATAGTTTTATTATGTTGCCTTCATATGCCGCTGCTCATAAATCTGAGACACATCTTTTGAAAATTGGTCAATAAATACCTTGAATTCTTCAAGCGTTTGTTTGTCCTTAAATTTCGTTCGGTATGCGAAACATCTTACAAGTTCATTGGAATATTTTGCTGTTGTTTGTTGTCGCTTGAGGAATTCGCACGAAGTCTCTGGGATGCTTTGTTGTTTGTTTATTTGAGCATTTAAATCGACTGGCAAAACAATTGCAATCTAATTTAATTTGATGTCGCTTAGCCGAACGAACGCTTGCCCATGCATACACATGGCGTATGAGCAATGCGGCTTGTTTATTGCTCCACGCATCCCACAGAGAGTCGCACACATAAAATGCACAGTTCTCATTGTTAAGGCGCGCACACACGAGCACAGCGAGAATCATTATCAGCACTTATACACAAACAAGCACACACACACACACACACACACACTCATACACACATAGAGTGAGAAAAGAAGAAGAAAACGATGAAAGTCGTTGGAAAAACTGCTCTTAACTACTTTCTGCACGTCTGCAGATAAAATCGATAAATTCCTTTTCGCAAAACGAATTAGGAAACTAATTGACTTGGATTTCGCTTAAAGAATCTCACATAAATCGTGAGCTTAAGCGTGATTCTGGCAGTCACCGCACTTTCTATGCCACGCCCCCATTCCCGCCGACAGTTAGTTTCCTCCTCCGCAGGGGAGAACTTTTGCTGCGGCAAATGCCAAATGCCTTTGCGGTATGTAGAGCACTCGCTGATGTTTCCATTATTTCTCTTTATATATGTACATATAGTAGAGTATATACATATATTTATTTAGAATTTTAATTATGCTGCGCCGCCTGTTAAATGTCATTAAATGTTTCAACATCATGCCAAAGTTTCGTTCTCCCTCTCCTGCTGTCTCCCTCCTTTACACAGCCCTATCCATGGCTCCTCATCATCATTCAGAGCCAGCGAAGCGTTGACAAACTAACAAGGCGCAAATATTATGCTCGCATTTCCTGCAATGCTTTTCAATTTAATTTACCACACACATAACATTTTCAGCCTGCCAAACATTTATCCTGCAGGCAAGCAGGCAGCCAAGATCTGCTCAGCTGCCTCACTCGCTCCAGCCCCTACTCATTCTCTCTCTCTCTCTCTCTCTCTCTCTCTCGCTCTGCTTGCATTTTATGCTCAGCTTATTTGTGGCTCGAATCTGCGACCTGTAAGGGCGCCTGAACACTTGCAGCTCTTGAATCTGGCCTGAAAAATGCACAGGTGACAAGTGCTTTGAATTTAACACCTTGGCAAAAGGAGCTTGAAAGGTATTCAATGAAAGTTACACAAATATTTACAGTGCTAATTAAGCAATTATATACCTTAAAATATATTATAATAACAGTTTGATAAGAAAGTGAAATAAATGTTTCAATTACCTAAAATTTAATAATTAAGTATAATACATTAAATATTAAATTTTACATGTATTTATTAACAATATTGAATAAGAATAATTACTGAACTTATTTTGTAAAATCAATTTTAAAACCTATATGACAGCCATATAGTAGTGTACATATATGAGATGGATATGACCCTCAGCAAAGACTTATCTTGATCTGCTTAAACTCAACATTATTTAAATACACACTCCGATTAAAGAATCTCTGATTCAGTCAGCGGGAATTTCGCGCGCGGGCTTTCTTGGGTTAATGGTGCTCCAAGTGCCCTTTGCTTGAAGTGCTAAGACTCTTTGGAAATATAACTTGAAATAAATGCCAGCAGTGTCCGCGCTTTGTTAATGAAACGCAGAGGCAGGCATATCAAACGCCCCCCATTCCGCCTACCCCTCACACTTACCGCTCATCAAATCGAGCAAAACTTCAGCAAAAAGTTGCTAGTTGCTTGTTGCGAGTTGACAAAATTGCGTTTCGTATTTATAAATGCATATGCAATTGCAATTTTTGAAGTTGCAATTGCTGTTGCTGCTGTTGCTGCTGCTGCTGCTGCTGCTGTTGCTGTTGCAAGACTGCTGGCTTCGTGTCTCGCTCAAATTGCAACAAACATGCAAATATATAATTTTAATAAAGTCCTGAAGTCCTCCCACTCTCTCTCTCTCTCTCTCCCTCTCTATCTTTCGGTCACACTCACTCACACGGCAGTCAACTGTACAGCCAGGCAGGTGTAGTCCAGGGGGGCGGCTACGTGCTGCTGGCTCATCAAAAATGCCAACCAAGAACTGCCAAGGCAAGTCATTTGGCACAGCAACAGCAACAACAACAACAACAACTAGCTAACTCTCAATGCGCTTGCCTATGTTGTTGTTGGCGTTTGAGCGAGCTAAGGTAGGGTGTACAGGCACTTGACATGCCCCCCATTTCGAGCGGCTGCAAATTGTGAAATATGAATTTTATGTAGTAGCTATACAAAATATTTTCATGTAGATTCGCTGCCGTCAATGAGTGCAATTTATATGCAATTTGTTATTTAACAACAACAACAACAACAACAACACCAAGAAAAACTATATAATGAGCAGGCAAATGCGAATTGTTAGGGAAAACTATAAGAGATTGTTGGCAAAAGACAATAAATTAAACATATTACGAGGGAGCGCTATCACAGTTAAAGTTTGCGAAAAAAAATCAACTCAGGGCAATAACAACAATTAAAATTGAACAACATTGACTGTTTACAAGCTTTTTTCAGTTAATCTAGTTATATGGATCTTCAGTATGTATCAAGCGATAATAATAATCAGATATATACATATATATAATTTCACTTAACGCTACCATGCCCCATTTTCAATGAAAATAAATGTGTGATTTCATGGCCTAACAGATTTATAAATGCCATAAATGGAATTTATAATACGAGCAGCTTCGCTCGATTGACAACCAACACACATACACTCAAACACAGTCACATTTACATATATACGTACGCTTATACCCAACACACGCACACACTCTGTCCAGCAGCAGCATGCAGAAACTTTACAGACCAGTTTCAACTTTCAAGCTAATAATAAAAATCCGTAACTTTTGCACGCCTCAACACTTTTTCGCCCAGGTCAAAGCAATTCAAAGCTGGACACGGACACCAGCCCATGAGCAAATTTATTGTTTCAATGCAAACATGCAACATATGCTCAAGCGCAACTAAAGTAAAAAGGAAAATAAAATAAAAAAAAGAAAATACAGTAAAAGGAATTACAAAAAGAAAAAAAAAATAATAGAAATTGAATTTCTATTAAACTTTGCTCGCATGCAAACGACAAAGTTTTTGCCGGCCAACTTTAGCTGACGCTCACATATGAGCCTGAGTGAGAGGGAGATGGAGTGAGTGTGAGTGGAGGGGGGCTGATCGGTCTCTGTCCACCTATCGTGAGCAGCTGCTGCTGCTGAGCAGTCAAGTTGTCAAAGAGTTAAG